GCCTACGTGACCAACAGCTATGTCACGTATGCCTAAGGTGACTTCCTCATTTCCTAAAGGGCACAAAAAAGACCGTATATGGTAGTAAGGAAATGCTCCCTTCCTCCTGAGATGTAACCACTCCCATACCTGCTATACTCTAATAAAAGTAGGTGCGTAAGAACTCAAGGGGTCTTTTCGCTCCTGCTTCTACACACCTCACCAAAGAAAGATGTTGTCCGTGTCTTCTTAAGCTGCGTGCGAGGCCCGATAGTCAGCCTGACTATCGTACATCACCGGTTCCACAAATCACCCTGGAAAGGGCCAATCGTATCAATTACCTGTATAAAAGACACCTGGGAGACAGAAATCTTGCTGATTGATAGGGGATCAAATACTTATTTCACTCATTAAAATGCAAATCAATTTATAAGTTTTTTGAAATGCATTTTTCTGGATTTTTTTGTTGTTATTCTATCTCCCACTGTTAAAATAAACCTACCATTAAAATGATAGACTGATCATTTCTTTGTCAGTGGGCAAATGTACAAAATCAGCAGGGGATCAAATAATTTGTTTCCCTCACTGTACATTTTGTTCATGTTGTGTCCAGATACAAAATGTGCATACATAAAATACCTGAAATGTCTTGTTTCCATATCAACTTTTTAGGATTCTGGATGTCTTTAAATATTTTATGTTCTCAGTGATTACCTCAAATAGGGTAAATTTCCAGAAACAGAATGAGGTAGCTGAGCCAGAACAATTAGCTAACACAAAACCTACCTTGGAAGGACTCTTCACAGTCTTCCAACTTTTGCTTTTTCATATTGGGCTTAAAAAAAAGAGGAAATATTATATATATACTTTTCCCTTAAGAGTAGCTTAAGGAAACAGATGTTACAAAGCAGATAGTTGCTTCAAATGTCAGAATGCTTTGTTCTCTTTCCATAGCTTGTTAGCAAGTATAATTAGTATAATTATGTTGTTTTGATCAGTCATTACATGTCACAAACAGGTGACCAACCTTACCCCATCAAGTCCATCATGACTGTTTGTCAGCAAAATCGGGTCCAGAATGGGAAGGTTCATATCTGAATGGATTTGCGTGAGATCGTGAATGTTCAAAATGGGATCCTAGGAAAGAATATCCAAAGCAGTAAGGTATCCATGCTCACAAACAACATCCAATGCAGTATTGAAAGCTAATAACAATAGCAGACCTTTATTTGACAGTGTGTCATTCTTGAAATAGAGGTTGCCCAGGGAGAGGCAAACTACCAGCTCTTACCTTAAGGAATCCATCAAGTTCTAAAAGCTTCTCTGGAAAAAAATGTGCCACTAGATCCTCAGCCTGAAAGAGAAAGAATACCAGCTATGACACATTAATACAACTGCTGATTCCACAAAAGGAAGGCTAAGACCAAGCCTAGGTATGGGTCAACAGAAAACACCACACAGATAATCACCTTGAAAGCTGAGCTGCTTCCAAAGGTTAATAACAAAAGTCCTACATATTCTTGAGGCCAGTAGCACTGAGGTATGGGGAAAGTCTCTTTCGTGAGAACCAGAAACAAATTTAACCCCCTGGAACCACTAAGCATTAGTTGAAATTGGAAGCATAAATCAGACACTTACTTCACCTGTGATCCGCTCCCTGAAAGAGTCTACCTGCAAGACAGAAAAGGTACAGCTTAGTACAGCACATCTGAGTTAAGTGCAACATAGTTACCCAAGGACTTTACGTTTGCTCACCTGCATAAATTACAATTCCCCTTACAAATCCAGACTCCTACTTGCCCTTTTTGAATCACTATTAATGTTACAGAATATAAGTCATATTTAATAAAATAATTAGATACTGGAGAGCCAACAGATACTTCTAGAGTATTAAACTAAAATAATGTTAATGGTTTTCTATATAGTAAGGCACAGTATAATTCTCTTCTCAAAATTTCACTGTCTTTGGAACCATGTATCACTCTGCTTCCTAGTTCTTTTGTATTTGTAGCATTGCAGTGACTGTTATAGTCAGTTATACTTGCTTTTATCTCCTACTTTCACAAAATTGTAGTGCATATATTTAGATTATTTTAAAATCATTCTGTAGAAAACAGTATTTATATATCCCACAAATCTGTAGTTTGTGGGATATTTGTGGCTAATGTTATTCTTGCAGCAAGAGATTCAAAAATTTTACTCTTCTCTTTTTGTTCACATTACTGCTTGAGCTAAGATATGACAGTTTTCTCACCTCCCTCCCACAAGATTAGCACGAATGAACAAGGGGAAATCCTCGATATGCTGGAAGTGTGGAGAGACCATTGGGAATTACTACCACATGTGGTGGCAATGCCCAAAGGCACAAAAATTTTGGAACTTATTAAAGAAATGGCTGGAAGAAATTTTGCTAATAGATATAGAGGCCAAACTGGAATTTTTTTTATTGGGAATTATAGAAAGAAAATATAAGAAAGATACAAATTATTTACTACTGCATATAGTAACAGCGGCACAAATAGCCTTCGCTCAAAAATGGAAAGAGAAAGATAATCCAACCGAAGAGGAAATATTACTGAAAATTTTCAATTGCGCTGAAATGGATAGACTTACATGGGAACTCAAGGATAAAAGTGAAACTAAGTACTACAAAATCTGGGAACAATGTTATGATTGGATAGATAATAAGAGGGTAGCCAAGACAAATGTATAGTGTTAGAATAAAATATAGATTATAGACAAATGTATATTTAAAAGGTAAATAGATATACAGAAATAAGGGAAAAGTGTTAATATTATATTATAAATAGTGAGCAAAGCTCAAGAACTATATGTCTATATGAGTACTAATACTACTGTAAAATGTCGGAAGATGTATGGAACCAGTGACGTCATATCTATGTCCAATGTGTTTTTAATTTTGTATTATTAATAAAAATAAAAAAAAAGATATGACAGTTTTTTCCAATATTTCAAGAATTCATCCTTACAGTTTCTACCTCAACTAGTATTCAAATTATCATTCTTCCATGTTGAAAATATTTTTACTGGTCTTTATCTTCTTATATATCAGTCATGCCTATTACCTAACTTAAGTCTTAAGATACTTTGTAGAAAGATAAACCTTTCCCCCCACACGGAATGATTTCTGAGGTGCTCTTTTCTTATCAGCTTGTTTTTTGTAAACCTCTGAGGCTTTTGTTAAATCTTTCTTTGTATTATCCCAAATACCCCTCCAAGCAGGCACCCACTGATCTAATGTTTGAGAGGTAGGGGGGTCCTGGGGGTATTCAGGCATAGGAATAAAATCCTTTCCAGTGGCTATTTTAAACAGCATAAGTCCAGTGCTGCTATGTACTGTGTTGTTGTAAGCCACTTCAGTGAAAGGGAGATCAGTCCAATTCGTCTGTTGGTAATCTACATCAGAGGCCCCCAACCTTTTGGGGGGAGGGTTCGGATGATTCAAGCGCATTACATTTATTGTAAATTTTCTAAACAAACAAACAAACAAACAAAGCTTTCATGGCTTCATTGGATAGCCCGTCACCACATATTATACAAAGTGGGGTTGGAGCATGTGAATCACCTGTTCCAATGAACCCGTAATTTAAGTAAGACTCTTGGTATTTTCTTTTAAATGTAGATTTCTTTTTATTGGCAGTCTTAGAGTCTTCTGCTGTCTCATCATTTGGTCTTTCCCCCTTTTCAAAGCTCTCCAGTGAAGTTTGTTTTTTCCTCATTTTGGCTAGGTTTAATGTGTGGGCTTACCAAAACTGTGACTGAGAAAAGTGTGCAGTTCAGAAAAGAGTCACAGACAGAAGTGGTAAATGAAATAATGGTCAGGCCATGCACAGACTAAAATAAGTGTGGGATTCTGACTTAAGGCCTGCCACAGGATGATTTTGCTCCAGAGGAAAATCAGAATAAACACACAGGGAAAACTTCACTAGAAGAGGCTTTCTTTTTCTCCAGGGATAAATTAGAATAAAGGTATGGAAAAGCCTTCACAGGAAGAGGCTTTATTGTTCTTCTCTGGAAGAAAATCAGAAGACAGAGAGAAACCTTCACTGAAAGAATCACTCTGCTTCTGTTCCAGAAGAAACCCCCAATCAAAGATGGGGGGGGGAGCAGAAAGAGGTGTGAATGACTTTTCAATGGTTCAGTATAGTGTTTCTCTTCGAGATTAGAAGGGAAGGAAGAGACGATCCTAACTCAGCCTTCCAGCAAAACAAACCAAAGACCCAGCACGTTGTTGAGGAAGTGCTGAGAAAATTAGAGAGAGAGCAAACCAACTCAGCTCTGTGCAAGCCCAGCAGTTTTGAAAAAGGTGCAAATGAGAGAGGGATTCTCTTGGAGACACAGTGTTAAAGGGGAAAGTAGCATCTCCCTCCCCTCCCCCACTGCAAGCCGGGTAGGAGCCTGCTTGGCTTGCAAACTTGGAGAGCTGCATGAAGAAAGGAGCGTGAGCCTGGTTGGGGTGCCAGGAGGGGAGAGGAGGAAAGTAAGAAATAAGAGGAGGAGGAGGAGGAAGAAGAAGAGGTAGCAGGAGGAAGTGCTGAGAAAACCTTAAAAAAAAAAACCAAGACCAAACCAACTCAGCATAGCACAAAGCCTCTTTGCAAAGAAACCCAAAGCATGCAGCTACCTCAACTTGCAAAGGCTTGGTTTCCAAGCAGTGAAAGCTTTTAAGCGCATGCGCGCGCCCACACCCACCCACCCACACAAAATTAAACCATGAAAAGCAGGCAGGATGTTTCCAAACCACAAGGCATCCTGGAGCATCAAAGTAAAAAAACTCCAGCTGAAGCGCAACAGACCCCAGCACTCTTAGACAAGATGCAAACGAGATAAGGATTTCCTTGGAGACCAGTGCTTAAGATAAAAGGTAGCTTCTCCCTGCCCCTATTTGCACCCTGAGAAAAAGACACCCGCCCCACACACAAACATACCTTGGGGGGGGTGTGTCTCCCTCTAAAGAAGCTTTGGGGGAAAACCCGGTTGCAAGCTGGGCTGGCGAGCGCTTGTCTTGCAAACTTGGAGAGCTGTGTGAAGGGAGCGCAGCCCACCTGGGCTGCCGGGAGGGAGAGAGGAGGAAGCTCAGCTGCCGGAGGACCTTTGCACTGGGCAAGACAGCTTCTGCTCCACCACTCTCCCACCCCAGCCCCGACTCCCGCAGACTCGCGGCATGGCTGGAGTTGGAAGACATGCCTTCAGTGCACCTCCAGCTGCACGGCCCGGTTCCTAACTAGCCAAAGCCTGGCACTGGGCCACAGACTGGGGGGTTGGGGACCCCTGTGTTTGGAGCGTTTTGCTCAGAATTTTAAAAATAAATTCAAATACTCAGGATTACAGGAACAGAGTTTTATTGAGATTTAAAACTTTTGCAAAAGTTGGTGGTCTTACTCTCTCGCAGGAGATCAAGCCACACCAATAATTGTTAAAATCACATATTTATACCCTTTTCACGACGCTGGTTTCCCTCCACCCCTATCGCACTCAAGCCCACCTGCTTCCCCCCCATCAGCTAATCCGAAGCACTTAAACATAATAAATTTTGTTCATACCCTCCCAGGAAAAAGGCCTCTTGTACCTGCATCGTTTAACCATGACCTTTAGCTTAGCATAAGCTCTATCTTTATTTTTGTGTTTCTTCTGTGTAAGGTTTTCCACTTAGCCTCACAACTGCCCCAGCATTACTCAGGAATTTAAAAGAGCCAAAGAAACTCCTGAGTCGAGGTTTCAGCAAGCAAACAACTCTTATTTTGATCAAAATAGAGTTGGGTGACCCCATCTCTCTTCGTGGCTGGTAGAGAGATGAAGGCAACAACCAGAAAAGATGTCTTCCGCCTTTTATACCTTTCCAGAACAAAAAGATCAGGTCTTGGTACTAGGCATAAGATGGCACAAAAAAATAATTCCTAGATGATGACTCACACAGCAACCCAGGCTCCATCCGTAACTCCTTTCCCCGCTCCCCTTACTGTGCTCTTTTCATATGTGGGAAGTCAGAGCCCCAGAGAAGGAAATATTAAAAGGGCAGAAAAATATATTTCCTCAAAAGTGTTTTAAAAAAAGCAGAAACCAACTTTGCCCACAAGTCTCTGCCCCAAGCAAGAGCTAGCCCCATACAAATGCAGATGTAAAACCATCAGAAAGTTGAAGCCAGAGCAATCAAGAAGACAAAGAGAAAATTTGCATGCCCCATCCAAACTCTAGGAGTCATTAGCCCCATCACCTGGGAAGCAGGATATGATAATAGGATTAAACCACAGATATCAAGGCCTAGAAAAACACTCAGAAATAGCCTCAAAGTTCATGACACAGGAACAGGAAACTATTCCAAACAAAAGGCTAGAGGGGGTATAAAAACCTACTGCCCATGTGCTCAACTTCTCTTTCTTCTCCTCTGCTCTTTCTTGCAAGGACCATCTTTCTGCTTCTTCAATAAACTGTAACCTTCTTCCCAAAGCAGTTGCCATGTTGCTTATTTATCCCTGGCTTGGATGAACCAGGATGAAGACTTACTTCTGACAAATGTGGCACCCCAGATGGGACTCCAAGCTAACCTCTCCAATGGACTGAGACTGGTAAGCCCCATCTTGCCGGCAACAGACCCCCTTGTGTCTGTGGATGGGTTTCCCAGGCCTTGCCCATGTGGAGCCAGGGTAGTA